AAATTTTTATTTTTCCACACATGCCTGTAGTTTGTAAGTAAATATTACGGCTTTCCTCAGATATCCATTTACTTCGTAAAGTACTTTTAAGTCAGCACATTAAAATTCAATATCTATTATGCTCACTTATACATTATACGCATTTCATACGAGAAATTTACTTTTTATTATGAAACCATGACAAAAGCATTTTTTGCTACTAACATGATACTTGGGACTAAGAAAACAAATTATAGTTATTAAAGATACCTCACTGTCAAAATGAACGCTTGTAAAATATCATAGTTCATGAGGACCCAAAAAGGCTTACAAGACTGTATTCTTGTCAGTTATCGATTTTTTTTTTCATGCAGGTGGCATAGCTTCAAATCGCTGCACGAAGAAAATAACGTATGTTGCGGAAGTCTACTACTCAATCGTATACTTCTGGAGAAAGCATAGAATCATATACATTTACAGAGTGACAAGGTGGAAAAAGTTTTAGAAGTCAGTAGACAGAGAAACAGTGGTATAAAGGCGTAAGGTTACTCTGGTTGGTTCTACTATACTTGAAACCCGCAATTATAAACAAAGCCATTGTGTTCATATGTCAGAACTCATGTTACACAATATGTGTAAATATATCTTCCTACATTATATAGTTGTTTTCACATTACCCACAAGATATGCTTTCCCACCCTGACCCCCCTTCTCCACGCTGCCCTACTCTTCCCGTCCTTTTCCTACAATTTACGTTATTTTTCTTAGTTATTTTTACCTTAATTTGACTGTTAGAGACTTCTCCACGCTACCCTCCCCCTTTTCCACCCCTTCCCCACGCTTCGTTACCCATTCCCCCTGCCGCAATTTTTTCTTAACCCCTTCTCTACCTTATACATTACATATTTATCTGAAATAACAAATTTGTATAACACTGTTACGTGGGATCCTCGGTGCAGGAATACATAGAAGCGTGACTTGTTGTTACTTATGCTTTATTAGAATTCCTTATATTTGAGGAAAGTTGTGCGTGTCTTCTCGTCTCGCAGAATTCCGTCCTCACCCTCTCGCGTCTCTAGCTGATCTCCCCCGTCCGTTCTCTCTCCCTTTTCTATAACCTCTCTTCTCTATTCCCCTACCTTTCAGGCCCAAGCCAGCAGAGGCGCACGCATGCATAGCTATATGCTATCGTACGTAACAACACGTTGTAAATTTTATTTCATTTAAGAATAATATTCTAAAATAATAATATTAAACATCCTTTTTAACAATCTTATGAGGAGATAAAACAGTACATGAACTAAGAAGTTCTTGAATAATAGATGTATATTAAGGTTTCAAAACAGTTCATTGTTCTCATTTAAAAGCATTTATCAAATTGACAGAGTATATTGTTTAATAATAATTTATTTAATTTTGTGTAAGTTTAAATGTCTTCGTAGAGCATCTGTTCTTAAAAATTTGCTTTTATATTGTCGACAAAAATTTTTGTTCATGACTTTTTGGGCGCTTCGTGGTGTTTTTTTTTAAGTGATAAGCTCTTTTGTAATTATTGTTGCAGGTGTCACATGAATGGATTTCCTTAAATTGGTGATGGTTCAATTGTTTTGTTGAAATTAAATTTATGTTTGCTTACTTTTACGCAATAGTGACATTGACAAGCTTCTTTTTATGAGCTTTTACATGATCGGTTACTAAAAAGTAATCTTTAAATCTTATAATGCAATAATTACGTTTAAAATCTTGATTTTTAAAACTAAAATAGCTCTAGATACTTTAATGCTATGATGTGTTATGTATTAGATATTTTAATGTCAATGATATTTTTTTACATTCATTAATGTTAGATACAATGGTGTGATAATGACGTCAAAATTCATCACTTATATTTTGACATAATAAAAATTCCTGACAGACAATATTTTTTATATTTTATTCATATTTAGAATCATTTTGAATGTAAATGTTTTTTGGATTTGTGAACTAGGGAAATGCTACCCATAATTGTTCATAGGAAGAAGAAGTTTTTTAAAATATAATTTTACAGATTATGTTAAAAATTTTGGCCCTGTGATTTATTTATTGTCATAGAAAAATCTAAAATCAACAGAAACTGTTTTCTATGTAAAATAAGCGGTAAAAAAGAACAATCTCTGGTATTAAAAGTGATTCTAGGTATAAATGTAATTCGGCCTTCTTATTGGCCTGTAATAATTTCAGCTTCAATATTTTAGTTAAATGACTTCGTTATACGTAAATAAGCTTCTTTACATAGCCAGCTATTGTACTTCAATTTCCTATCAACATGACAACTGAATTAATTTTTAATTTTATCTTATGAAGTAGTAAGCCTTTATAAATTGCATTAAATATATCAACATTAAAATTCAAACTTATGTTTTCATAAGATTCGTCTGTTCCTTTTTTTTTTGCTGTTGCATAATCAAAACTGTAGAAAAACAAAGTAGCTTCTTTTATATTGTTCAGAATTTCGTTGCTCAATTATAATTTCAGTAAGAATATTGACTTGTATGCACTATTTTTTCTTTCAGAGCTCTATAACCTAACCTCAAGTGGTAGAAATTAAAATTTGTAGAAATAATTAGACTGTTTAATAATATAAAATTTAGAAACATTGTTATTAATAATTAAAATTACAGAAACATATTTGGCTTAAAATCTGTAGGCAGAAACAATTATTCAGTATACTGTAGGTCATGTTACTTGAATAAATCGAAGATTTCGTAAAAATAACAACTTGAAAGCAAATATATAAATTAAAAATAATACAGCACTGTTTTCACTGATTTAACTAATCTTAATAAATCATGGTTACCATTATTCTATTCCAGGGCCCCTAATCTAACTTTCAATACTCTAAAATAAGATTTAACGATGATAGTACGATCGTTACTTTATTTTAAATAACAGAAAAAATTTTAACGTTAATTAGAATTAAACTCCACTAATTTAATTAAAGATTGGTGTATAAAAGATTTTTTTTAATATGTTGAAGGTTATGTTACTTAAAAAAATTGAAAATTGATCAGTATAAGTACACGAATTCGGTATCGTCATTCTTAAACAAAATGAGAAATTTTTAAGGTGATTTATAATAATGATTTGTTCTTATATCTACCAACATTTTAGTGGGTACACTCATAACTTAATCTAAAATGCGAAGAAGTAAGATTTTTGGACGGTTTAACTTGCAAATATTTAAATATGATTATATAAACAACTTTCAAGAATCTTAAAAAATGGTCTCGGTCACAAATGTACTCATGTGATGTACAGTAAGCGAGTGATGACTGGCAAGTGCTGCCACACACACATACATATAACACTCGCCTGGAATATGGGCACGGCATCATGGTGAGACGTGTATTAAGAATGTGTCGAACAATAAAGGCTCTTGTTCATCTTAATCCCAGTGACTTATTTATTTAGTATACAAAATATAACATGGCACAGTTGGTAGAACTCGCTGAAGAATCAAGTGTTGAGCATTCCGGACAGCTGATATGAACTGATACAGCAGCTCAAAATAAACAAGTTGATTAGCAGCCTCACAAGGGAATCACAACAGTGGTCGGCGGAAACGAGACTCCAGCAAAGGGTACAACTGCACAGCCCCCAACGTCAACAACAATATTTAACAATAGTTAACGCACGGACAGCTTAACTTGAGGCCTCCTCTACCACTATCGTTTGAAGGTAACGTAGCAGAGAATCGGGCCAGATGGAAAAAAAAGTTCACCATTTACATATTAGCCATAGAAAGCACAAAGACGGCAGAAGCGGTACAGGTCGTTATCTTGTTACACATACTGGGAGAAGAAGCACAAGAAAAATTTGACATCTTTAATCTTTCCCAAGAAGATGCTAGCAAATTCGAAACAGCGATGAAGTCTTTTGAAGACTATCGTGTGCTAAGAAAGAATAAAAGCGTGAGCAGACACAAAGTTATTTAAAAAAAAACAAGGTCAAAATGAATCCTTTAAGGATTTTCTAACGGATTTAAAAAAAGTTAAGCGCCAATTGTTCATTTGGTACGCTCTGTGACAGTTTAATAAGAGACAGAATAATCAGCGAGATCACAAATATCAGCCTCAAGGATTGCCTGCTGAGAGAAAAAGAGTTATCCTTAGAACAATGCACCAAGCTCTGCAGAGCGGCCAAATTGGCAACGCAACAAATTGAATTGCTCAAGGAGCCATGCAATGTAAATGCCATTATCTCAAAAAGAAAAGTAATAAAAACCGAGCACGGGGACCATAGCAGTCATCAAGGTCAACAGAGCAAGAGAGAGCAGAGCAGCAACAACAACAGAAAAAGCAACAGTAGCTAGCAGGCATGGGGATTCACAGCAGAGAGCTAACATGCAGTAGGTGCGGATATACACACGTGCCAAGAAGCTGTCCAGCTTTTAACAAGAAGTGCAATGCCTGTGGAAAAATAAATTATTTTGCGAAAGTGTGTAGAGGTCAGAAAAACCTAGACGAAATCGTCACTGACAGCGAAGAAGAAGCGACAGTATAGATAGGGTGTGTAAATATTTTGGAAATAAGTTCGGACTGGCATGAAACAACAAAAATAGTAAAAACGGGTAAGGAATTAACGGTAAAGTTAAATAGTGGAGCAGGTGCAAATGTGATAAATATTTTTGATTTCAACAGGCTTGGACTCGTTGGTCTCCTGCATCCCACTCACACTGTATTTAAAACATACACAGATGTCAGCATACCCGTATTGGACAAAGCCAACATAGATTGCATGGTAAGAAATAAGAAGCACACACTTGAATTTATAGTAGTAAACCCACGCAACGCGTCTCCTGTATTTGGTCTTAAGTCTTTAGAAAAATTAAAATTAGTCTACAGAGTAAACTTAGTCAATAATTCGAACTTATGATACGACAGTGTGATTACGCAATACAAAGACGTGTTCGGAGAAATTGGTAATTTCGTCTATGATTTTTATCAGAAATCGAATTATGAGGGCAAAATATGTAAAGGAAGAAAAATTTCATTTAAGCTCAGAGAAGCGTTTGAAATAGAACTAACACATGGAAGGGCAAGGAATTATTACAAGACAAATCGAGCTTACCGAGTTTGCGCCAACATAGGCAACTTTTTACATTCGAGGAAATTTCGTCAAAATTAATCAAGTCAAAAATTTTCTCGTGATTAGATGCATCCAAGACTTTTTGGCAAGTGCCTTAAATAGGACGTAGTTCAAAGCTTACAACATTTCACTACTCGGCAGATATGGATTCTTGCGACTACCCTTAGGCATCAGTATAGCTTCACAAGTGTTTGAATAAATCTGTGATAAGATTTTTGATGATATAATTGGACTAGAGAAGTTCATTGATGCTTTTTTAATACATACTAAAAATAAAGGAGACCACAACATAATATTAACACAGGTTTTCGAGCGAGCCCATGAATGGGGAGTTAATCCACGAAAGTGCGAAGTTGCAAAACGAAGTGCTAAGTTTTTGGATCATATTTTCTCCGAAAATGGCCTCCAAATTGACATTGACAAAGTAACAGCCATAATAAATATGAAATCTTCATCGACCGTAGGAGAAGTAGAAAGATTACTAGGCATGCTGACCCACGTACCAAAATTTGTAAAAAACGAATCAATCGTCACTGCACCACTGCATGAATTGATTTAAAAGGCAGAAACCTTTGTTTGTTCCAAAGAACACAAAATGATTCTTAAAAAGATTTTTAAAAAATTTAATGCATTACCCTGTTTTACAATATTATAATACAAACAAAACTTGCACCCTAAGCGTAGACACTAGCAGCACTGGCGTAGGAGCCGTGCTCTTACAGAATAATTTACCAGTAGCTTTCGCTTGAAAAGCTTTCATGAAAACACAAAGGTGTTGAGTTCAAATAGAGAAAAAGTTATATGCGATTATATTTGGACCCAAACGGTTCCATCAGTTCACAGCAGGCAAAGCAACTCTAGTGGCAAGCGATCACAAACCACAAATTCCGATTTTGAATAAATGTCTGTCAGAAATACCTGTAAGATTACAAAAAATGGAAGTGCATTTGCAAAGGTATGACTTGCAAGTTTCTCACAAACCAGGCCAAGGTTTACTTATAGCTGATGCGCTATCGCGGATGGGTCTACAGAGCTGTAACGACGATGAAGACATCAACGCACAAATCTTGAGTATACAGCTATCAGAATGTATGTCAGACGAAATTCGTCAATCATTTGTAAATGAGATTAAAAGCGATAAACAATTGTAAATAGTCTTCAACCTCATTGGCATGAAATGGCCCAATTAAATAAAAGACGTTCCAACGTGTGCTAAAGCATTTCATACATATCACTCACAAATTTTCGAAAATGAAGGTTTATTATACAAAAATAATACCGTGATTGCACCTTCAAGTTTAAAAGAAAAAATATTAGAAAAAGTACACTATAATTATCTAGGAATAGAAAAAACAAAACTTAGAGCCAGAGAAATAACTTTTTGGCTGGGTCTAAGCAAAGAAATTAAGATTATGACTGCAAAAAGTAATAAGTGTCAGAAATTTCAAAAAGCAAACACACACGAACCTTTATTGCCAAGCAAAATATCACGTGACTGTTGGATAGAGGTGGGAGTTGACCTATTCTACTCAAATGGGATCATACATCTCATTTTAATCAATTATAACTCCAGATTTGTAGAAGTTCTTACGCTTAAAGACGAATCGTCTGAATCGGTTATAAATGCACTTAGAGCAAATTTTGTAAGGTTTGGTGTCCCAGAGATAGTCAGATTCGACAACGGTCCATAGTTCAACGCGCACACATTCCAAAGTTTTTCAGCAATAAAGAAATTTGAGCACAATATCTCCAGCCCTTACTATCTAGTAGTGGCATGGTCGAGCGGTGCGTTCAAACTGTTAAAAGAATTATAAAGAAAGCTATAGTAGACAAAAAAGATTCTCTCTTAGATCTTTTAGAATTGTGCGATACACTTATAACCTCAACGATTTTGTCTCCAAATAGAACTTTGCTTCGAAGAAATGTAAGAGGCATTTCACCAAAATTTTAAGAAAAATACAGTAAGCGCAACCACTCCAACATGAAAGAAAAACTGTTCAAACGGCATCTACAAAAAAAATACCATGACATGCGAGCGAAAACCCATCCAGTCATCAGTCCTGGAAAAAACGTTCAAATAAGACGTATCATTAACAAGCCTTTAGAACCTAGTAAAGTAATCGATTTGGGGTCAAAGAATCGATCTTTCAAAGAAAAATCTGAATCTGGAACGATCCTGACTCGTAATCGTAATCACTTGCTCAAAGACCCAGGCAATAACTTTACTCACAAATCTGTAATTATCTATAATGAATCTGATAATGCCACTGAACAAGGCTCAGAGTCCTCGGCAATTGCGTCACCCGATCACACGTCAGAAAATGCCATTGACACATTTGTGTCAGAATACACGCAAGTGCAGGCAACCTAAGCCAGCACTCCACCCAAAACATATGTAACGCTAAGCGGACGCGCAATCAAACAACCTAAGCGCTTTGGTTTTTGAGGGTACACGCTAAGTGCGGTAAAATTAAGTTATATTACTTTAAGTTAGAAGTTCTCTCTTCTCAATTGTATTTACTATACTGAAAAAAAATCAGGTGTGGGTCTCAGGACCCATGACAGATGTAAAACATTAAAGAATGTGTTATTAAACTCGGTAGCATTTGATTGTCTACGATAAAAATAGTAGTTTTCGTCAAATAAGTGCCATTGTTTTTAGGGCTATTTTGCGGCCCGAGAGACCTACGAAACAGGGCACGAGAGACGTAAGGCAGCCACGGAGAATTGTCGCGTATGTGGCGAATCCTATTTTTTTTACCGAGACCACACCTACCTCTCAAAAACGCTTGAGATAGGAAAAGTACTTATTTTTTTTACTCTAAATAATTTTCATTTCATATTTTTATATTGAAAAAACAGTTTATTTATAAATGTGTATTTTTATCAGTGAATATTATAAATTAGAAAAAAGCAAGCTATGTTTATATTTTTTTTTATTTATTAACATATAAACAACGAGAACAAGAAAGAACAAAAACACACGGCAAAGAGTATATCTATTGTTACGTCGGCGCAACATATTATTTGAGTCTAAGCTTTCGCTTAATAACTCGGGACTCGCACTGGGCGTGTAGGTGGGACGCGGGGCAAAAAGGTAGTTATATTTCTTGTCTAAGTATTAGAAAGGGGGCGAGGACGGCCGTTTTGATTAAGTTGACGCGGTTGTCGAGCAATAGTGTGATGCACTTGTTCACGGTGAGCCTCAGATTTGTCGAGAATACCCGGTGCGATGTGTCAAATAGTATCCCGTTCGCGATCTAGAGGTTACCAATACCGTCATGAGCAAAAGTAATTAGACTCTAGAGGTTACGCAAGGGGGTAAAATGGTTTAAGCTCGCAACTGGTCTAGGAGCCATCAGTACCATCTGGAGTAAATGTGATTGCCCTAGACTTAACGTATGGAATAATTCCTTTATTTAATCTCGTAGTGTGGTATTTTACCGACACCGTATTTCGAACTCTAAAAAACATATCCGCGTTGAAACTGAGAGGAAAAATAAATTGGTCACTTTAGTATTTAAACTTGACTTACTTTTATTTTCGGTATGAAACGTACGAGTGCCAAACCAGCGCGAAGTGTCCGAGATCGAAAATTTAAATCGCACTCGTGGAGGACCGTGAGATAGCAGAGGTGGACTCTAACTATCCACTCAACCGTTCGAGGGTGTAATTAAATTGTAATTGTGCCTCATTGTGCCTCCAGACTCTTTTTATAAGGAGTAACGGACCTCAACCACGTGCTGGTGGAAAAACGACGCAGGAAAGCTTGCTGCCGAAAATTTTGGGGGAAAAGACAATGCCGAAGATCTAATTGGCTGGAGTTGCTCTAGTTTAGCCACTCAAAATTGGAACTTCCGACCTCTGGCTAGCTTTCCTACATGCGTCAAGAGAGGGTAAGGTGATTCACTCATTTGCACCCTTCCCGTCTCTTTTACATCAAGATTTTACAGATTTTCCATGTTATTTAATATTAACATCAGGATGACATATTGCTAAAATTTACTTTGACTAAGGATTGTTCGTTTATTCAATCAAATTTATTGCAACAAGAGCGGTGAAAATCGCCCAATAATTTACATAGGTGTTGACTAAATAATCGTTCACTGCGTTGCTATTTTAATAACAAAGTTAGTAATAGTAATTTTTACGCATTAATAACTATCATAGTTGCTAGAGTTGCCAGATACATTAATTGAACAAGTTGATAGTCGAAAAGAGTTATTGTTAACAGCGGTCCAACCACTTATCTCTAAAGCAGCTGTAGTTGTGGTCCAAACACTTATCAGGTGTTTGTCGCGACCCATTGATTGTTAATTTAACTAAGATTGTCAGTTATTGTTAGCTACGGATGTATTTCGAAATGTTAGTAGCATGATCAATTCTTACTTTTCCTTTTGCTTACTCGTTGGAAAGGACGTTGGCACGTGGTGCCCTGGAGATTTGAAAATTCCGTTACTTATATTGGCTCGATCATACAAACTCTCTCTCGACATATCAGATTTAGGAAAAGGGGAAGGAGCTATTGTTGACTGTTGGCTCAATTTTTCTGCTTTCCTTCACATATTGAAAAGTAGCAACATTTGTCCGGATTAAAAAAATTAGGTTTTTGCGAATTTTATAAAAATTCTATAGTGTAAGAGGGTAGCTTGGCAACTTATGTATAAAAAACGAGCGAATAACTGATAACGTCGCTTTGTTAGGTTTACAGCAGTTAACATTATTACTCATATTGTGGTTGCTTATCAGCCACACATTAACTCTATCTTAGTTTACTTGTCTTAGTTCTTATCTACTGGCACAACTGTTCCTAGCTAACCTTTTGCATCTATTAGTTCTTTCAAGTTATCTTATTATTTTATGCTTTGGGAAGTATTTCATTTGATTTCTTTTCTGGTCAGCATGGGCCAGCGTGCATGTATGTAAGACATGCATGGTCGTAGTACCTTAGCTACGAGGAATCTTGTAGGTGACTCACCTCTTTTTAGATGCACATTGGCCCCTGCGTTTAGTGTCCTAAAATTGGCATGGAAAGTTTTGAAGAAAGGGGGAAAAAATTAATGTGGATATACCGATGTTACACTATAATAGCTATCTACACATAGGTACATACATTAGTTTAATAAACGATTAGATGCATCGCTTTCTCTGTTTCTCTTTTTCTTTTTGGGTACCTGTTTACTATGAGTAGTTGCGCCCGTGTACAAATTTCGTTAGCTCTTTATTGAAGACGGGTTAAAATGGAGTTTGAATAAACACAGTTGAAAGACCCTGGGAAAACTTTGCATTGTTGTCAAGTATTCATATTTTAAAATAATTCTGTTCACAGAGAAAAATTTTGTTTTAATGATAACAATGATACTAATTCTAATAATAATGTATCATTTTTTACTCATGCGAAATATTTCAAAAAATTATGAAAAGTACTACCTGTATAAGTACAATAGAGAGAAAGGGAAAGAGAGAAAGAAAGAGATAGAGAGAGCAAGCGTAATAACTGACGATCAATGGCTCTCTATATCTCACTTACTCTCTTAAGTAGAGTCAGCCAAGTTTCACTGCGAATCAGTAAAATATTGTTTACTCATCACAATAAGTTAACGACTTTTCCCTTATAATAAGTCAATATTGACTAATTCGATTCATCTAACTTTACAACGTACTTTTACAAGTACTGCCAAAATGCCTTTTTAATTTTTTTCTAAACATGCAAGTGCTAGTCGAAACAAAATAATAAGTGCTTGTTGAAAAAAAAAATTTCCATCTACACGCTGGTATTTTTATTTTTTCTGTAAATCAAACCGTTAAAAGATATAAGCTGAACAAACTTTAGAACACAATTTTACGTAATTTTTATATTTTTAGACCACTCAACAATAATCATTACTATTTTTTTTAAATCAGCAGGCTATATATATATATATATATATATATATGTAGAACGCCCTATTATAGATCAATTCTCTAATTCAGAAGTTTCTCGGTTGGTATCTATAAGTAACAAAAACAGAGATCAGATCGGCATGCTGTCTAGCACAATCAATGAGGTCTCTGACTACCAATTTACATGATTTGGGTTCGATTCCCGGAGTCCGTAAAGTTTGAAAATCTTTTTACACACATATAATGTATAATATATGTGTGTACGTATATATGTGCTATGATGTACAATACATATATGATATTTGTTTAATATGAACTCTTCTACATAGCTGTATATAGGGATAGTGCACGTTACAAACGAGAGAGGGGTGTTAGTAAGCACATGGAAAAAGAGATAGAGAGCCAAGCCGAGCCGAGCTGAACTGAGTTAAGCTGGAGATCGTGCCATCGCACGGGTCACTTCATTGCGTCGGTTGAACCCCCAAGCGTGCCAGTAGATGTTTCAAATAAAAAAAAAAAAAAAAAAAAAAAAGGGAAATGTCGTTTATATACGCACATGATGTACAGCAAGCGAGCGAAGACTGGCAAGTGCTGCCACACACACAAACATATCACATTTGCCCGAAATACATAAGCAGCTCTGTAGGGAGATCAACGCAGCACGCCATCATGGTGAGACGTGTATTAAGAATGTGTCTAACAATAAAGGTTCTTGTTCATCTTAATCATAGTGTATTATTTATTCAATATACAAAATGTAACAGTATTTAGGTCTTTTTTTTACAGTATAATATTTTTTACTGTATTCATAACTCAATTTTTTAAATAGTGACTTACGAGGAAAAAATAAAATTATACAATTACGCTATTGTGTCATAGATTAAATATTAACAAAAAGCATTAGTAATATTTATTATAATCATTCATTACTACGCAAAACTGTTGCTCGATAAGATTTATAATCTATTTAGTCGATGGTAATTATAAAATATATTATTCTTGTTACTTTAGAAACCAAATATGAGTTTATAATAGTACTCGAATTCTAATTATCGTTATTTGCCGGATACGCTAGAAATTTTTACGTCCGATTCCTCTTAGAAATTCAGCGTCAAATCAACGTGGACTCTATGTAGATTCTACATGAATTTTATGTGGTTTAAATAACCTAATTACTAGGGTACCATATACATAGGCAACTGGTACATAGCATTTTTTGTGGCAATGCAGATTTGCAGAAAATGATAGAGAACAATAATGCCTTAGAAAAGGGGGTGGGTGCATCAATCTCTTATAGTAAGATCGTCCTTTAAATGATTTATAATACAAGTAATAACGTACATTTAGAGAATTGAAGTAATATTTATGTATGTGTGTACCCAAAGCCATTAAGAAAAATCGGATAATACGTGGCATTCGGAAAGTAGGAGACTTACTTGGTGGAAAACTTCAAATGATGCATAAAAATTTTTATCTCTTGAATACATTAATGTCTATTATCCTAACCCTAAATTTGATATGCCATGAACGTAAACACATTAGTTTTAGTATCTGAAGTAAAACTTATTAGAAATAAATAAATTATTCGCAATGAACTTAATAATCTTATAGTAACGGTGTTTAGTAACATTGACTTTTGAATAATACCTCATATGAAATACATCGATAACTCACTATGTCGAAAGTATACGAAAATGTTAGAGCAAAACTCAATATTACAAAATTTGGTTTTGTTAAAGTACGAGTACTGTTTGAGCTGGAAAATAATTCTTGGATGGCAATTGTCGTGAGTAAGATGTCAGGATCAGCGGTCAATAAATTATTATGTTGCTTAAAACTATGTATACATTTATTAACAAAATTTATTACAAATGCTCGCTGTGAGAGAAGCGTTTTTAACAGTGGCCATGAGCTGACTGACTGTAATGCAGAACAGTTGAGTTTAAATGTCTCAAGCATTTTTGGTCTATAGATTAAAATAATATAGTGAAAATAGGTAGCAGTTAAGGAAAGATAAACATAAGCCTAATACAGGCAAAAGTATTTGTTTTCGATTTTGCACGTAAAAAGATAGTAGAAATAAGAAAAGTGTTACTATTGTAAGAGAAAGAATGTTGATATAAATGTAGTGCAACAAATATAACTTTTAAACTGGACACACTGCCCACCTATTACATAAGTGACTTAAACAAAATAAAAATAGATAACTAATTTAAAAAAGAGAAAAGAAAAAGGTCTTTATCGAAGTCACTGAATAAGAAATAAGTACTAGTTAAGTTTTTGTATGTACAGGACCAGAGAGCGCCCAGCCGAAGATAGGGCATTGGGCTAGAGGTATTCCTGTCAGTCCAATTCGTAAGCCTTCTTGCAGCACTTTTGGAAATACGTCGGCTTCAAGCAACATTTCAATCTCCACAGGGTTCTTACGAAAGTCGTTGACCAACTGTAGGTCCTACAGATAGTTCCAAATGCTGGAAAGCTTGAGTGTGCCAGGTCTGTTTTTGCTGATCAACAAAAGGACCAAGGCGTCGAGCGTTAGCTTTGCGTCACTGCTATTGGCCGAAGCAAGAGTGAGGCTAGCTTTCCTGTGAACTTGCAGACCCTTGGTTCCACCGACGCCGGTGATCTTGCGAGTTGTAGCGTTGCTCGAAAGCTTGAGCTTTTTTAGCAAGCTTTTTGCGACGAATGACTGCTATGAGCCGCAGTCCAGCATATCACGTACCACGTGCGTGCAACTGTCAGGATCTCGTGTCTTGACTAAGACAGTAGGGAACAACGTAGAGTTCACTGACGAAGCAATCCAGTGACAATTGATGTGGCTTCATTGGTGAGTGCCACCAGCTAAGCAGATGCTGAAAAGTACACAGACGTTGTAGTCTCATGCAGCTCCTAGAGCCCATGCGTCAAGATTCCTGATGATAAGTGTCACTACTATAGGTCGTGATAATGAGAATTAGGACGGTCTAGCTGTTGTAGTGTCACTAAGACATCTACAGTGCCGCTGAGAAATGCCTCCAGATCTTTAGTGGAGTCTGATGCAGTTGGCATGAAAAGTAAATTTCTGGTAAATGCTGAGACCAAGCGCCACTTGTTTGTATAGCGGTCATCAAACATCTTCCATGTGGCTTCAAAGTTTGCATCGATCATTTGCGGTATACGCAGCATTTCTAATGCTTCACCTTGGACATGTACGTTCAGGTGCTGCAACTTCTCGACGTTGCTTAGCCGAGAATCACGCACAACAATAGCTCTGAACAGATCCTTGAATTCTAGTCAGTCTAAAAACTTGCCTTTAGATGTTGGCATTAAATTATGACGTTGCTTACAACTATGTACGAATTTATTTACAAATCTAATTATGAATGTTCGCTGTGAGAGAAGCGATGTCAACAGTGATCATACGCTGACTGACTGTTGCTCAAAACAGTTAAGTTTAAATGTCTCAAGCATTTTGGATCCATACATCAAAATAATAGAATAAAAATAGCTTGTGGTAAAGGAGAGCTTAACATGAGCTTCATACAGGTGAAAGTCTTAGTTTTGATTTTGCACGTGAAATAATAGAAGAGACAAGAAAAGCGTAACTATTGTAAGAGAAATAATTTTGATATAAAAGTAGCACAATAAATATAACTTGTAAACTGAATACATACTCAACAGTTGTATTTTACATGCCTTACAAAATGTATGTAGCGTTAAGGTTTAAAAAAGGATCCCACCGTTTTTGTACTTTGATTTCAGAGTTTCTTAGGGCTACTGACTCATTAAGAAAAATACTTCGTGTTTTCAGTGTATAAGGGCTTCAAAATGCCCTTTCAAAATAATTACTCAAAACCTCAAGCTTACCTAACCTTTCTGTTTTGTTGAAAGGTATTATTATTGGTGTTTAGTACCCTTTGTTTAGTACAGAATGCAATTTTTTTCTAATATTAGCATTTTTAATAACCATTAATGATAAATTAATAAATCTTAAGTCCAAAGCTTCGACAATGTTGGTTTCTATTAGGAAAAAATTAAGTCTGCCATAGTAAATTGTATGTTGTTTTATCACGATGTAAATGTAAAAATAAATTATCCATTTAACGTAATCGTGACGATGAATTAAAAATAGGAAATATTGTTTCAGAAGAATTTCTTTTTAGTTCATATAAATTGTAATAAATAAAAAAATTGTATCAATTCGTTGTGTCTCCAAGTCTCTTAACAATATTATTACCATGAGAATATGAAACAAAACATTTTTTTAAAGTTAAAATTTTAGACTCATAACTTAGTGGATTGTGACCAATTTTTTGTTTGAGTACAAGAACTGCTTGGCAAAAACAAAGGACACAAAATAACTCAGTAAACTTTACTGAGTTATTTAAATTGCCTTTTCGTGGAATGTAAGACTAAGGGAGAGAGCCACAATTTAGTTATTCAAGTAGTTTATTCATTGCTTATTATATTTGTATAATTTATATGGTTAATTTATTATAAAAAGTGTAATAAAAAGTAATCAGTATGCCATAAGCAATACTCAATAGTCTGTATGGAAAGTTGCCTAACTTTTTAATAATGTAAATTGTATGTGGTCTTTTTTTTGAAATAATGGAGAAACGTAACAAATTATTTTACAAATTTTTTTAACCTTTTATAAAGGACATTAAAAGGTTTTTTAAATAA